ACAGAGACACCACGACTTTGAAAAGTAAATTGCTCCTTTAAACAGAGGTAACGAAACTTTGGAAAGTAAATTACTCCTTGACAATCATGTCCAAAGGAGTTGAAAATTGTGTTTGAAGAAATTTCAGGAGATTATGCCCAAAGGCCTTATAAATGAACCCCGATACCAAGAGACATCCTATTTCAAGGATTAGGAACTTACCTGACAAGCTTTTTTTTTTCTCAATTTTGAAAACATCTTCACATCTATCTCCTCTATGTGAGATTTTGGAACACCTCTGCTTCTTGAATTTATGTAGTATATGCTATGCAATGTATATGAAATTCCATGTATGTTATGCAAATGTTGGCTAATTAACTCCTATTTAGTTTGTGGTACACAAGCTTCTTAAGCTCTTTTCTTGGGCCTTGAACCCTTTGATTCTTCAAAAATTGGATTACACTACTTTTCTAAGATCGAGCCAGTGTAGCTCTCAATCACCTCTTTCGCTTGTATTCTTTCTGTAAAAAAAATTTCCTTTCAAATTCAATGTTCTTATAGGGAACTGAACATTTTGATTTTGCCTTTATCACTTTTGACTTATTCAATGTAATGTAAAAATCTTTCATGCTGTTACTCATTCATCGATCATTACTTCAAACTCAAAAAGTAAGAATGCATTTGCACATTTCTTTCATTGTAGGATATTAAGAAGAAAAGAATAAGAATAGTTGAGAAACAGTCACAAAAAAAGACACAAAGAGTGAAATAAAATGTCTTTTATTAGCAAAATGTTAGCAAATTTTGACCAAGAGAGAATTACAAGGATAAGTATGGGGACAAAGCCTAAAATAAACAATCGAATAATCATGATAACACATTTCAAGATTTTTTTCTAAAAATCCAACCCTCTGATGTATTTAACAACTTGGAGCTCCTCTGAATATGCTAGTCTCCATGCCAGTGAATTTTTAAATTCGATGTCGTTCTCCTTATCTAAGCTGCCTTTTCAGGTTTTTAACTTAGACACTCCTTATGACTCAAATCACCCTTTTAAGGTTTTCACCTTGAGTTCTCCTTTTTCATTCACTTTTTTTCTTTTTTCATTTTTTCATTTTTTTTATTTTTTTATTTTTTTATTTTTTCATTTTTTCATTTTTTCATTTTTTCTTTAAGCATAGTATTTTTTCATAGTATCAGAATTTATAGGATGGGGTAAATCATTTCTATCCATCTCAGTCAGTATCAATGCTCCACCCGAGAAAGCTCGTTTCACCACATATGACCCTTCCCAATTCAGAGTCCATTTTCTCTACTATCGTGCTGGATTGAAAGAATTCTTTTCAAGACCAACTCTCCTTCTCGAAAGTAACGAGATCGAATCTTCTTATCATGAGCCCTCATCATTTTTTTTTGATATAGTTGACCATGGCACAGTGCAGTCAATCTCTTTTCTTCTATGAAATTTAACTGTTCATAGTGTTTTCGAATCCATTTAGCTTCTTTCAACTCAACTTCTTTTAGAACCCTCAAAGAAGGGATCTCTACTTTCACTGGTAGTACAACTTCTATCCAATAAACCAAAGAAAATAGGGTTACCCTAGTAGAGGTGCAAACTGACATTCGATATGCATGTAATGCAAATGGTAACTTCTCATGCCAATCTTTGTAAGTCTCGATCATTTTTTAAAAAATTTTTTTTATGTTCTTATTGGCTACCTCAACTGCCCCATTCATTTTCGGATGTTATGGTGTCGAGTTATGATGCCTGATCTTATATTGGGCACATATTTCTTGCATCATCTTACTATTTAGATTCTTAGTATTATCTGAAATAATTCTCTCTAGAAGTTCATATCTACAGATGATCTCTCTTTTTATGAACTTGTAAATCACAGATCGTGTCACACTTGCATATGATGCTACATCTACCCATTTTGTGAAGTAATCTATCATCATAAAAATGAATCTGTGCCCGTTAAAAGCCTTTGGGGTGATTGGACCAATGACATCCATGCCCCACATTGAGAATGGCCATGGTGGTGTCATAACATGTAAAGCAGAAGGTGAAGCATGGATCTTATCAGCATATATCTGGCATTTATGGCATTTACGAGCATAGTCAATACAATCACTCTCCATCGTCAACCAGTAATACCCTACTCTCATGATCTGTCTCGCCATCATATGTCCACTAGTATGTGTCCCACATATTCTGTCATGTATTTTTTCAATGATTTTTCTTGTTTCAGTCTTACTTACGCACCTCAATAATACTTAATCTCAGTTATTTTTTTTGTACAGAACATCTTCATCTAAAAAAAAGCTCATAGCCAATCTTCGGATGACCCTTTTATCATTTTCTGTTGCTTGAACTAGGTACTGTTGATCCTTAATATACTATAAAATGTCATGATACCAGGGTTTTCCATCTTTTTCTTCCTTTACATTAGAGCAATAAGCTGGTATGTCTTTAACATCTAATTTGATGGGCTGAATGTCAGTATTATTATTAATTCGAATCATTACAGCCAGAGTAGCGAATGCATCAGCAATCAAATTCTCTTCTTGAGGTAAGTGGTCAAACTAAATATCTTCAAATTGTTTCATCAACTCTAGAATATAATTATGGTATGAAACGAGTTTTGAGTCTCTTATCTCTCATTCCCCTTTAATTGGTATATAACTAGAGCTGAGTCTTCAAACACTTTTAATGCTCTCACTCCTCTATCTATAGCAGCCTGTAAGCTCATGACACATGCTTTATATTCAACATCATTATTTGTGCAGTTAAAATTTAACCTTGCTGTTACAGGGCAGTATTGTTATTCTGGAAAGATCAAAATTGCTCCAATTTCATGTCCTAAAGCATTGACAGCTCCATTAAAATACATTCTCTAGTATTTTTCTCTATGCTCTTTTTTTTCCAATTGAGAAATAGTCATTAGGTCTTCATCAGAGAATTTTAACTTCATTGGCTCATATTTTTCAGTAGTATGATCTGTAAGAAATTTCGTTATAGCGCCCTATTTTATTACTTTTTGGCTCACGTATATAATATCATATTTCGAGAGTATTACTTGCCATCTAACAATTCTTCCAGACAAAGAAAACTTCTCAAAGATATATTTAATTGGATCCAATTTTACTATGAGCCATGTGGTATGATAGAGCATATACTGTCTGAGTTTTTTGGCAGTTCACGTTAATGCACAACACATTTTTTCCAATGAAGAATACTTAGATTCGTACTCCGTGAACTTTTTACTTAGATAGTAAATAGCTCTTTTATTTTGGCTAGACTCGTTTTGTTACCCCAGCACACATTCCATTGAATTTTCGTATACTGTTAAGTACACAATTAAAAGTTTTCCTGGAACAAGTGGCATCAACACTGGAGGGTTTGACAAGTATTGCTTAATTTTATCAAATGCCTTTTGACAATCCTCATTCTATTTTCCAAAATTATTCTTGTGAAGAAACTTAAATATGGGATCATATTTGTAAGTAAGCTGAGAGATAAACCGAGAAATATAGTTCAATCTCTCAAGAAAACCTCAAACTTTCTTTGGTGTGCTAAGAGGTGACAAATTTTGAATGGCCCGTATCTTATCTGGATCGACTTCAATTCCACTTTCACTGATCACAAAGCCTAGCAACTTCTCTGACTTTACCTCAAAGGTGCACTTGGCTGGGTTTAATTTGAGCTGAAATTTTCTCAACCTCTCAAATAACTTTCTGAGGCTGGTGACATGATCTTCATCCTCACAAGACTTTGCAATCATATCGTCTACATACACCTCGATCTCTTTGTGCATCATGTCATGAAAGAGTGTTACCATAGCCTTTGATATGTTACCCCAACATTCTTTAACCCAAAAGGCATAACTTTGTAACAAAAGATTTCCCACATAGTCATGAAAATGGTCTTTTTCATATCATCTACAGTCATTTTTATCTGATTATACCCTGAAAAACCATTCATAAAGGAAAAATCAAATGCTTAGCCGTGTTATCTACCAGTGTGTCGATATGAGGCAAAGGAAAGTTATCTTTTGGGCTAGCATTATTCAAGTCCCGATAGTCTACACACATTCATACCTTTACATCTTTCTTAAGAACTGAGATTATATTGGCTACCCAATCTGGATACTTAGCCACTTGTAGAAAACCTGCATCAAATTGTTTATTCACCTCTTTTTTAATTTTTAGTAGCATTTCAAGCTTCATTCGTCTCAGTTTTTGCTGAACTGGCTTACATTTTGGCTTTAGAGGCAATCTGTGCTCTACTATCTCCGTGCTCAACCCTGACATATCCTGATAAGACCAAATAAATACATCTATAAGTTCTCAAAGTAGGTCTACCAATCGTTGTCTATCTCCTGATGAAAGTAAAGTGCCCATTTTGACATCTTTTTTATTCTCGTCATCTCTCAAATTCACTAAGTCGACTATCTCCTGATGAGGTTCAATTAGCTTATTTTCTTGTTCGATCAATCTCATTAGGTCCGAAGATATAACATATTCCTTAGAATTCTCTTCATTGTCAAGTTCATCAGTGTTAACTGAATTCTCAAAGCTAACCTCTTGATTGTTATCATGATTATCTTCATGTTTATTTAAAGACTTGAAATTGGATGAAATGTGATATGTTGGCAAGATGTGCTTGGAAATATGGAAAAATGAAGACACAAGAAGAAATGAATGAAAATGCATCTTTCCTATTTTTTATTAAAAATAATAAAAGATAAATAACCCAAACAAGAAAGATCACCCTAATACCTTGAGCAATAGCTATTGGAGTGTTACAATTACATTGTATAAGCCTTAAAAGTCACAGGCATCTCGATAGCACTCCAATTATTCAGCTCATAATCTGGCGAACAAAGGCAAACCCACTCCATCTTAATTAAGCCCCACTTCATCTTCAACAGCATTAATGGTTAGCTGGGTAAAAATATTTTCCATACTTTTTCTTGTATCTGGGTACATGAATCTTTCAAGGTCTGAAAGTCTCATACAGGTGTGAGATAACCATTAGTCTTGCTATCTTTCCTACTGGCCTTCTTCTGACCTTTCATTTGTCATTATAGTTTAGGCCTACTCTGTCGCTATTGTCTATCACCGTCGGGGGTTTCTTTATTCCCTGCAAGTTCTTGCCTAGCCCTAGTCCTGGATACTAGCCCTTGTTGATGACTTGGCTCATCATTATCCTTGAAAAAAGTTGATTTTAAAATCTTTTACCTACAGAATTAACTAATTCAAAAGATCGATAGGAGCATTCCAATGCTTCTTCGACAGCCTTTACATATGGAGTGTTCAATGGTTGGGTCACTAGCATGTCTTCTCTTCAACTACCACTACTAGTTGACCTTCTACATTAAACTTGATCTTTTGATGTAAGGTAGAAGGCACAGCTCTTGTCATATGAATCCATGGTCTTTCAATAGACAACTGTAAGATAGAGAGATATCCATCACTTGAAACTTTACATTGAAAGTGCATGGCCCAATTTGTAAGGGCATCTCGATATCCTCTAAGACTTCTCTTCTGGTCTCATCAAAAGCTCTCACAATCATCTGACTGTCTTTCATATGAGAGTAGTCAATGAGTAACCTTGCCAAAGTTGACATAGGTATGTCATTGATAGCAGAGCCATTATCAATAAAGACTTTGGCTATGATATGGCTCTTGCACTTGACTATGATATGCAGAGCCTTGGCATTTTCTTTTCCCTCAAAAGGTATCTCATCATTGCTGAACGAAATGTGATTCGACATGACTAAATTTACAGTAAGGTGGTTCACATATTCAACAGATACATTATGTGCCACGTATACCTGATTTAACACTTTTAACAAGACATTTCGGTGTAGCTCTAAGTTTAGCAGCAGTGATAGTAATGAGATTCGAGCTGGCATTTTATTCAATTGTTCAACAACTGAATACTCACTATGTTTTACCAACTTTAGGAATTCATAAACCTCTTTTTCTGATACCGGCTTCAGATGATCTTCTTCAGGTTCTACTTCAGAATTATTTCATCCCTCTCTTTCTTTAACCTTCTCCTTTCTAGCCTTCTCTAACATTTTTAGAGTGTAGCACCTTTCACTTCAGGTAATGCCTCCTACACCAGTTATGTTAGAAGCGTCAGCTTTAGAGACATCTTTTTCTTACCTCTGAACTACAGTGTCACAATCATATCTCTAAGGTACAGCCTTATCATTCTTGTACGAGAAAAGAGTTGAGACTTTAAAAGTTACTGGCTTGGGGATGAGTTTGTTTATGATTGACTTTGACTTGTTCCTACACTGAATTGTCACTTGCTTTGGAAACAGTTTTACAGGCTTATCTGTCATGGACACCTCAACACTTTTTAAGTCTTCTCTTCCTTCATAGACTTCTATCTGATGTGAATCTAAGAGTTTTTGCACCTCTTGGTGAAATTACTCATAGGTTTTAATGGAATTTACCCCATTATGATACTTACAACTAGTACCAGCTATATATGCTCCATGATAGCTATATGAACTTACTAGTTGTATCATGTCAGCTCTCCGTAAAACATCAAACAGTTGGTTAAGAGGTGTCTTAATATCTGTCACTTCTTTTTTCAAATGATGCTCATGTTCTTCACTTAGAGCATTCACATTATGGTTCGATAAAAGATTGCCACTAACATTCGATGCAGTCAGTCCTCCCATATCAAAGTAAATCATTCCATCATTGATCAACCGTTGCACTTTATGTTTCAGGGTGGTGTAATTTTTGATAGAGGGGTCAGTAATCCCATAATAGTAGTCACAGTAGGCTGTAGGATCGTACCATTTAGGGTAAGGTGGCTTGAAGGGTTCCAATTTACTAAGAGCAATCAAATGACTGTTGTAAAAGCTCCTTATATAATTCAGTATAAGTCATTAGAATTAGTCAAATACAGGTTTCTCACGGGTAGTTCGTTGCTCCTGTGAACCACTAATGGGGTTAGTTAGGTAATTTTGAAATCTTGAAGTAGGCTGAGTGTTTGGACTGTACATGGTGTTTTGAGGCCTATGGGGGGTTTGATATGTTTGGAGGTATGGTGACTGTACAAATGGTTGATATGGGTAACGGGAAGTGTTATTTACAGTAGGATAATATGATAGGTATCCTGATGGTGAGTAGGGTTGATAACCCCCAAATTGCTGTCTATCAAAGCTCACGGCCTGAGCTTCAGTTTTTTTTTCTTCGAGATTCTCTTACTAGATGCTTCATTTCCTTTCAGCTTACCATTCTTGATGGCACTCTCAATAATTTTTTCTGAGATTGTCATATCAGTAAAGGTTTTTATTGCATTCTCTATCATCTTTTCATAATAGAGAGGTTTCAAAGTGCTAACAAACAGCACTGTGATCTCTTTCTCAGTCAGTGGAGGTTATACCTGAAAAGCTATATTCCTCCATCTCTAGGTGTATCTTTAAAAGACTCATTTATCTTTTTTTTTTTTCAGATTTTGTAAAGACAAACGATCAAGAGCCAAATCGATAATGTATTGATATTGATCGATGAAGTCATGAGCCATATTGCTCCAAGAGCGAATGCGGGTCTTGTCTAGCTAAACATACCACCTAACAGCGAAGCCAGTAAGGCTATCTTGAAAAACATGCATCAAGAGTTTTTCATCATGAGCATGAGCTGTCATCTTCTTACAATACATGGTGATGTGAGTTTTGGGGTACTTCGTACCATTATGTTTTTTAAATTTTGGTACTTTAAACTTATGAGGAATGACCACATCAGGGATTATGCAAAGTCCAATAGCATAAACTGAACCATAAAAACTAAATCCTTCTACAGCCAGTAGCCTTTATTCTAGCATACTAATCTTGGAGCTTTCTTGAGTTTCCACTCTTATCTTTTTTTTCTCATTCTTTTTCAAATTATCTAGATTAAGAATTGGTTCTATTGCCTTTTCAATAAAGATAAGATTTACATAACTACTATAATGCCCTGGGTTGAAAGCTTACGGTATTTCAGGATATGTTGGATATGTGAAGTGTTACGGTAGAATCTCTTGAGCAGACTGGGCTTGAGGTGGGCCAAAACCTGAAGGATACAAAGGATCAGCCACTTCTTACAATGAGGGAACTTGTTGGCTTGTATTTTCTTTAACTTCTTTTTTCTTATTTAACTTATTGAGAGCATCTAAAATTTTGCTCAACTCACTTTCATCTTCTCCTGTGCTTTTTCTATCTTTTCAAATCTGTGAGAATTTTTTTGCTTCATTTGTCTAGCTCTGATCTTGTGTTGTATCAATGGGCAGGGTTCTCGTTAGATGGAGCTATCCTTGAACCTTGAGTACCATGTCTTAGAATTAGTAAATTTGTATGACTATCATATGGTTACTTTATGAATGAGAATGCAATGAATGAAAAATACATGTATGCAAAGAACATTTGCCTCAAAAATGGTATTTAACTAAAAGATTTCATTTATTCCAAAAAACTTTTATCTACAATGAGTTTATCATCCTAAAATTATAACCATAAAATTGTTTGATCTATTCATACTGGGCCTTGGCTTCCTCAATGAAGTTCAATAGACGCTGTCCATGTTCTCCTACTAGGGTCACTACTTGTTTCAATGCCTCTGCCTCTTTCACCATCTCTCTTGTCTTGCATACCCCTTTACAGATTTAGGTAGTTAGGTGCTCGATGTATTTCTATCTTCCTAAGTTCTCTCTCTTACCACACCTAACTTAGTATGATAATTCTCTATGTTCCCTAACCAATGCAGCAATGTGGTCTCCTTGTTCATTTAACTTTTGCCTTAACCTGCTTAAGTAACTATTTAGCATGTTATTCTCTGTCTGTACTTTGGTACTTTCTTCTTTCAATTCAGCATACTCTTGCTTTAATCTTGTATTTTTCTCAGTCAGCTCAACAATGGTTATCTCTTTGGCCTTTTTTCTCACACATAACCTTTTATGCTCTTGGTGTAGCTTTGCTAGGTCTTCAATAGCTGTATCACGTTCTCTAGCAATCTTGTGAACTTTAACTTCATGACTTTCAACTCTATTTTTCCATTGATCTTTTTTTCTTGAAGCTTCTGGATTTTTTGCTTTAACTTACCCTTTTCATACTCAAATTCTTTTGTTGCAAGCTCTAATTCTGATAGTGTCTCTTTGAGTTTTTTTTCTGTTGGTGGTTGAGAGATTTCATAAGTGAATACCATTTCTTGTCTTCTTTTTATTCTCCAAACCAAGTATCCAGGAGTGACTTTATTAGTAAACAGTTCAGGACTCACTCTTCGGGGATTTTTCCATACTTTAATCATCTCATTCATCCTCTGAAATGCTTTAGGCTCATTGTAAGAGAAATATAACTGATGAAGCCTATAAGTCATAGGAATGAATTGTTCTCTCTTAAATTACCTTCTCACTAGGAGTGGTGAATAATTTGTCGCTCTTCATAAACCCAGAAGTGAGACCACTGTATTATCCCCACATTGATACAACATAGGCTCACGATTTATCCATGGGGCCAACCATCTCGCCTTGGCACTGGTCAACCTTTGTAGGAAAGTTATCCATTCTTTTTTAGACTTTCATTCTGACCACCCACTTTCATAAAATTCCTTGATCAGAGCACGATTACAGATATAAAGCTTCGAGAAAGCACCAGTTTCCTGTTCAAAATGGCTTTTCATCTATAAGTACAATAACTATATGCAACCTATGAAACGCCCTCCATTCCGACAACAATAACTCAAAGATCTGATAGTTTCTGCTAATATTATCGTTGAAAGATTATAGTCATTGATCATACCCTCGAAGAAGTCCCACCACCGTTATCTCAATATAACCCAAAACCTTTGAGAAGATCACCATTTCGAATACAGCTAAGGCAAATATATCTAACTCCCGTTTTTCATTGGCATGTTGCACCAGAAACTCATGAAAGAACTTTCAGGGTAGGCAAACCTGTTCTTGTTTCTTCTTTGTATGAGAATCCATAACTTTCTTGTCTATCCCCATGAGTTGAGCCAGACCATTACGAAATTTTGACTTGTGTTTTTTAACATATATCTTGTCAGAAGCCTTAAG